GCAGTATTAATAATTGCTTTATTGTTTTCAATTCTTTCGGAAGCTGAAGGTGCTCACCATTTTATTGCAGAATAAAGCCTGTACTAGTCTAAAGTTAACTTTTTATAATGATTCAATTATCTTGCACTATATTCCTTATATAAAATCACATAGGCTTAAAGAATTTGTTTAAAAAATTATGCTACTCTTTTAAAATCTTTTCACTGTACTGAACTGTACTTTCACTAGAACTATGTATTATAATAGACAACATTTCATTTTAATTAGACTAAATTTAAGTGTTTAGACACCTTAAGTGCTTTATTTTATGTCTTAGATCAGTTTTTATGTTTAAAAATGTTTAAAGGTTTAAACTCATCCAATTATATATCACGATTATAATTATATAATTTTTTGCAGGTTCTTTTTTAAGTTATTTAATATTTGGCGTGTTAGTAATTATATCTAATAATGTTGTACTGACGCCCTGGATTTATTTAATATCTTCCATACCTGCAGTATTATGTGGCGGTAACTGTGCTTTAATTGCTGCAGTCTATGCCTATATAACGGATGTTGCAACTATTGAAACAAGAGCAAAGCGGTATGTAGTAGTACTGGAGGAAGTCACAAAATAATATAATACATATTTATATATAATTTAAAAAAGTTTTAAAAAGTTTTAAATCCTATCTGCATGTGAACCTATACAATTTTGCTCAATATAGATATACATATAGATATTGATTTTGCTTATACCATATTTATACTTCATATAACATATGTAAATTATTTTTCAGCATGATTTCGAATGATGCTTGTCTGGGTCTTGGAATAATAATTGCTAGTATATCAGTAGGCTATATATATGCTGCTACAAATGTATATGTTATATTCTTTATGTCAGCTGCCTTATATATGCTTGCATTCTTATATGTATTTTTCCTTGTTTTAGAGGACCATACAACAGAGCTCTTTATGGTATGACATCTCTAGCAATTGAATTATTATTGAATTATTATGACATTGTTCCACATAATTTCAGACGAAATTGCGAGAATTCTTTCGCTTTGATTTAGTGAAGGATATTATGCGCACATGTCTTAAAAGACGACCCCATTATGATCGTGCCCTGATTTGGTTAATTATAATAACGTTATCTGCTGCTGTTTTCACTATGGGTAAGTATTATTTATACGAGTATAATATCAAATATTTATAATTATATATGTGAAATATGTGAAAATATTTCAGAGGGTGATGCTACTGTTACTTATCTTTTTATGCGACAGAAATTTAATTTAACTCTTCAGGATTTTAATTTCTTTAATACTATTCGCATGGTGATACAAATTTTGGGATGCATAGGCGGTATGGTTATATTAAGAAGGGTAAATATTTTATTTAATATTAAATAAAGATACAATATAAATAATTATACATTTATTTAGTTACTTAAGTATTCGGTTATAACGATGTCACTAATAGCTCTGGGCTGTTGTGTATTGGAGAGTGTTGTACGGGCTACAACAGCGAAATGGTGGGAAATGTATTTAGGCGTAGGTTTGGGTTGTATGAATAGCTTATTGTTTCCTATGGCTAGAGCTATATTATCATATGTAACACCTACTGATGAAATTGGTTAGTTTACTGTTACTGCTTTAGTGTTACTTTATTCATTTGAATTTTGTACTAAAAAATTATAAAAAATTATTTTAGGTAAAGTTTTTGGATTGACTGTATCTTTAGAAGCACTAACACCATTTTGTGCAGCGCCACTTTACACTTTCGTCTACAACGCAACTTTAGATATAAATCCAGGTGTCTTTAACTGGATAAGCGGTGGCTTATACGTCCTTTGTTTTATATGTGTGAGGTATGTACTATGTTACCTATAAGAAATTTCATCACACCATCACACCTTTTTTTATTATTTTTATTTTTTTTATTTTTATTTAGTACAATCTTTGGTATTAAATTATCGTTTGGCAGTAGCAACGTGTATGAACAGCTTGGTAGCTGATTACAAATTAGGTGATTGCAGTATCTTGTATTAATTCTAATGTGATATTACCAAAAAGCCATTTATATCAAATCTAGTACTAAGTTATATGTGTATAAAAATGATCAGTAATGGAAAAATGAATAGTGCATAACTAATACAACATTATATACAATTATTAAATAGAAAATTACATTCTATTTACATATTAGGCATTAAAAAAAGTGGGCATAAAATAACCGGTGTGATGTATTGCAGTAGAACGGATCTACAGATATATCTACATGAAATAGCACATAATGTACTGAGTATTTACAGCGATAAATTTTATAAAGAGCTGTTGAAAACGTCTATCAAGAATAAATTTTAAAAACCACATAAGACAATACAACTTATAAACTATTCACGGAAAGCTGCCATTAGAAGGATACATACTATACATTTTTTGGTCTAAGTAGTATTGTTTTTGAATTCATATTTAAATCACATTAAATCACGTCTCGAAATTCTTAATAGATTGTGAATTTTGATTCATAAGTACAACTGATGAATCTATACTGTTTAGTAGGTACAACTGCATCTAAGTTCGATATTCGAATTGCTACTGCAACCATATCGGAATTTTTATGTATTTTGGATTAAAAATGCAAACTACTTAGGATAATTAACATCTGTGACTATTAGAGTTCATTCGGAGCTATTAATTCAGCTATACCGTAGAGCAAAGTAATTTATCTTTAGCTGACAACAAATTTTAAAATGCTTAAGTGCATTTTTATTGGGACATTAATAATTTTGCTTAGCTATGCAAGTACTAGTCACTAAATAAATTTTAAATAAATAATGATAAAGAATGAATTGTCTAAAAAATGTAAAACTATTTTAGAAAAGCAACCGATTTTTGATCATAAAATCTGAATGCAGCAAGTATTTCTGTTGTATATTTGTGTATTATTATTAATCCGTTTATTTATAAAATATATATTTAAAATTATGAAAATTTTTTCATGTTATCTAACATGCGATATAATTTAATGAATAGGAAAAATATTAGAATATCTAGATATAGTTACAACAAGGAAGCTTCGAGCAATATGATATAAAATATTATCTGGAGAAAGTTATAAATTTATAATATTATCAATTGCACACTGCCAAAAAGAAAAGCACTAGTATAGTAATGACACTATAGAAAAAAATTACTGTAAATACAATTTTTTATACAATATTAATGTATGTATATATATTTATAAATGTAGACATTTATATTTATATTGAAAATGTACATAAAAATAGATATTTTATATTTTAAAGTATGTAACCAATTAAAGTATGCATGTAATCTACAGTGAATTTTTATTAATTATGTATTATTATCATCATTGTACCAATTTATATAGTTATACTTAACTGAATTACTAAAAATAAATGAAAATACATATTTTACGAAGTTTATATTTATATTACATAACAGTCAGATACTACTAGAAAATATGGAATTAGTTTTAACATTAAGCAATTACTTATTATTATATCTTATATAAACGTCACATTTGAAGATTTTGACTCTGTTTGCAGTTAATTGTACAATAGTATCCGTTTTGTTGTCCCGTAAGTAAACGTAGATAAAATATACTTGCATCTTTGACTGTGACCCAAGATTCACTTCGACACAGAATTATTTTAATTAAGAACCATTCTCGTCTTCCTTTTTATATTATTTCAAACAACCCCCCTCTCTCTTTGTCTTCTTCTACTCGCTCTTCCTTAAAACACCTAATCCTAACCTACATATGTATTCGAATCGAATTGTAATTGCTTTCATTTATATATAGACTTATATATCCCTTCATGGATCACAGAAATAACTCACATTTGTAATTGAAATTCCAGTAAAATATTAACTTTAATATGTTGTTCGGACGTTTGGACGTTAACGTCCTCTACGAAACATCTTATGGTAGTGTATCTTATTAAAGAAAAAAAAAAAAACAACAGCAACAGTTGGACCTAACTTTATGTATGTTTGTTTTCAAAACGACGACAATTTGAGGATCATCTGCATAGAAACGTTCTTTAGCGTAGTCCTACGGAAAAAAATCCAGTGGTGATTACTCCAATACCTAACTTACATCGCTAAAACGTGAAATTACACGACTGGAAAATTTTTGGCATTACAAACCCAAAAAGGAACGTGTTCTGTATCGTACTGAAGTATCGTTCTGTTGAGATCAAAATGTAATTAATACACTTGCATCACAGCACATATAATATTTTGTTAAATATACGTAAAAAAAATATATTAGTATTATAAAAATCGGTATCTGTGTAATAAATTTAATATTTACAAATATTGTATAAAACTCTTTGTCTGTTCACATACTTTTGAAGTAAAAGCCAAATGTTCCTCTTTTGGAAAATCAACTTACTTAACTTTAATATGTATTTTTTATTAATTTTAATTTTAATTATGACAAATAAAGCTTGTACTGATGTGGTAGATAAAAGCATAACTTGGATAGACAGAGATTTGGTTCAAGGCTTTTATAAACTTTTATTTGACAAAGTAAATTTATGGTGGCTAAGATTGTCGTAGTATATATACATATACTATTGTTCGCAGTCATTGTTTGCACAAATTATTGTTTTTTGGTAGACTATATCACATAGAGAAATTAACATTTCATTTATTATATTTGCTACTTCATTAGCTCAATCCAAATAATCTCACTATCCGAGACAATTTATTTAGAAATTGCTTCAGTATATAATTTTCGCACACTGACAGTAAAAAACGTTATTTATTTATTGTTCTGTTCATATTTATAACACTAATCAGCTGTTTTTTAAATAAATTTGATAAAATTTGTCTTATAAGATAGATTTTTAGTAGGAGAATAGTAACTTTTACTTGAATTTCCCTATAAGTACTAATGGGAACAATTCCTATTATTGCTATTTCAATGTGTACGTTCAGTGTTTGAAAAGAAAATGAAAATATTAAATTATTCAATTTTAGAAAAATGGCATCACTGTTTACTCTGTTTGATGAGTACTAAATAAATTTTAACACGAATGTCATTTGCGTTGGAATTTCAAAGCAAAGTGGACCTGTTTTCGCGGTGTTGATTTGAAAAACGCGTGGTAAATTGTGCTGTAAATGAGATTCTAAATTGGATATTTTTAATTAGAAGTGAAAGGAGACAATCATGATTGCAAAAGATATGGCACAAATGAAATCACTGGCGATAAAACTATTTGAGATAAATGCATTCAAATTTGGCGATTTTAAAATGAAAGTCGGTATAAATTCGCCAGTTTATTTTGATTTACGGGTCATCGTTAGTTTTCCAGAAGTAATGGTGAGTTGAAAAATGCGATCTTTAATTCTGAACAAAGAAAATAAAAATTTTGTTGAGCTTAGCAAACAGTCTCGGATTTGTTGGTATCATATATCAAAGAGCAACAGCTGACAGCGAAGCATGTGTGCGGTGTGCCGTACACAGCGCTGCCTTTGGCAACACTTGTCTCTGTTCAACAGAATACGCCAATGCTTGTGAGGCGCAAAGAAGCCAAAAACTATGGTACAAAAAAAATAATTGAAGGAATTTTTAATGCTGGAGATACGTGCCTAATTGTTGAAGATGTGGTTACATCTGGCTCAAGTATTCTAGATACTGTTAACGATCTTACACGTGAGGGCATTGTCGTAACAGACGCTGTAGTTGTTGTTGATCGGGAACAAGGCGGAGCTGCTAACATTGCTAAACATTCTGTGCGTATGCACTCACTATTCACGTTATCGTTTTTACTGAACACTTTGCTTGAAGCTGGAAAAATTGAACGAGACACCGTGGATGCGGTAGCAAAATATATAGCGGCATGTCAGATCAATAGCGATGGAACTTTTGCAAACGACAAGCCACAAGTTGGTAAGAAAAAATGTGATCTTTTAATTATAGTTTATCAATATTGTTATTAATTCAATATAGTTTGAAATGCTAGTCGTTATTGTTATAGTAGTTTGTGGAAAAGTATAGAACAGGAAACATGACTAGAACTAAAAGGGTTGAGATAAGTGTGAGTGACGGTAGGGGAAAAAGAAGAATATAAAGTTTTTGAACACAGAAAAGGTTAGATTACCCTTTAAATGACTATATTTAAATGACTTGATTACAAATACGAATTATATGGTATGGTAAAGATATTGTAAAGTGTAAAAGAGTAGAAAATTGTTTGGGAACAAAGTTGAATTAAGGATGAGTGGGATTTGAATTAAAGCTAACATGGGTTAAAACGGGGGAGACCAACTCCGTTTTAACTTTAGTAGGACGAAACCAAAAATCAATTCGACCCAAATTAGTGCGTACAGTAGAATATAAAAACAGATGGGCAGTTAGAACACTCATCTCCATAATATAAGGGTTCCAGAAACGGCCCTCACTTCATCCATGCAAGCATTTAATGTTCAAATTTGCTCATGTGCATATATATATTATTGACTATAATAAAATCAGAAAA